CAGATCCCCCAGATGAAGCGATCGGTTTGTTTGGGTGAATATGAGAGTGCTGGGAGAGAGGGCTGCCTCCCCGGGGTCTCCTCCTCCTCAAAATATCTCAAGGTGTTTAACACAGACCCTGGAAGTAAAGGGGAGATGTCAAAACCTTTAGGTTTTTCCTGCATTCAACCACCCCTGGGTAAATCTCAGCCCCTAACACAGAGGGGTCCAAGGGGATGGGCAGATGCCGCCCCACACCACGCTGTGGCACGGCAATGCCAGGCACTGCACGGTGCCAGCTTTCTGCACTAGGAGATTTGCTGCCCTGGAGACCCCTCTGTGGCGGAGTGCATGAAGGGGTCTTCTATAATGAACCTATAGAAATTGGGGCCCTGTGCTCTGGGAAAGGATTAGGATGGGGGCCAGGGAGATCTGTTGCTCCCTCTCTTCCTCCCCATGCACCAGACCTGAGCCAGCGATGTCCCCTGGTCCTCATCTGTGAGCATTGGAAACGCTGGTGGGGCAACGCTTCCTTCACCGTCCTGCTTGTAGGGTGCTGCCCCAGCCCAAGCAGGATCCCATGTCCCCATGGCAGGGCTTTTGGGAAGGGGGTGACTCAGGTCCTATCCACAGGTTAGGGCTTTGCTAGCTCTCCATAAGGATCCTGAAGACCTTGGCTTGGCTCCTCTGCTTCCAGGAAACCTCCTTTCCTTCCTTCTAGTCCTGCTCCAGATCGTAGCATCAAGGCATAATTAAGGGTAGAAGGATGTCAAAGCAGGGAAGAACCTCGAAGCTGAAGATGGGCTTTGCCCCAGGACCTGGTGCTGGAGGGCTGTTGGTACAAATGACTCGCTGGCTTTTCCCTTCCAGCAGCAAAGATCAGAGGCTCCCTGCCAACCTGTGGTTACTGGGACTTATCTACATCACCTGCCTCCCTTTTGGGATCTGGAGGATGAGCCTGACATGCTGGTGCCTCTTAAGACCTCACAGCTGCTGTCACCTACTGCCAGCAGCCACCGTGCCCCTCTTGCGAGGCCACAGGTGCCATCACCTACATCCTCAGCAATCCCACTGCCCCAGCTGGCTCCAGGGCAGAGCCAGCCACTGGCACTGCTGCCTGGGGCAACCCGGGCTTTTGGGGTGTCAAGCCAGAAGAGCTGCCATGGGGACACTTCATTTGAAACCAGTGTGAAGTATTTTAAGCCTGATTCCTAGATCCTTCTGCCCTTTTTTTTAAACAGAGGTCTGTCCTACTGCAGGCTTTAATATCCTACAGTCCTTGCGTTAAACCCTCCCTGCTTCTGGGAGCCTGAGTGCTGCTCCGGGCACTCAACACGGGGAGCTGCCATAACTTTCCATGCTGGCTTCATCCTCAGCAGCCACCCAGCACATTTCCTCCAAGACAGGGCATTTTGGGGCATTTTGTGCCCTCCCTGTGTGCAGGATGGTCTCCTCTGAAAGCTTCACATTAAACGAGATGGCTTTATTTCCATGGCAAGCTGAGCTTGCTTTATCAAGCTGCAGATCTTCCTCTAACTCAAGACCAGTTATCATTTGACATCTTATCTAACCCGCCCTGCATTGCTCTCCATGGGACATCCTGGGGGACCTGCGCACCGGGAGAGGGGTGAGCTGGGGGGCAGAGGGCTGCAGGCAGCCTCGGCCCTGCTGTTTATACCTTCGCTGGGTGCTCTTCAGCTCAGAGCACACCTCACCTTTTGGTTTTACGTGTGGTGCCATCCCCCCCGACTTTCCACCCTGCGGTTTCACATCAGGCCTTTTTCTGCTTGAGTTGGCTGAAAGTTGTTAAAAACAGCCCGTGCTTGGTGGCAGCTATTGAGAGAGATGAGGTTACCTGGGGCTTTATCAGCTGCTGAGTCCTGTGTTTTTGGTGGGTTTCGCTTCTATTATTCCTACGCTGGGCACAATCTCTGCCGGTTCACCCCCACTGCTGTGACAGTGATGGGCACGGGCAGCCTGGCAGGGGGTTGCTTTTCCAACCTCTCAGCCTACGGACAGAGCAGCATCACGAGAGCACGGCTTCAGCAGGGTCGGGGGTTCATGTGTGGGGCTTGGGGAAACCCACCTTGTCCTTGCTTTGGGGGACATTTCACCCAGCCAGGACCTGGTGCAGCGCCAGCAGAGCCTGCTGACACAGGGATCGGAATGGGGCGGTGCTGCTCACACGGGAGCAAAGGTTCCCGTCTCCAAGCACAAAGACATTGTACGAAGAGGAAGAGTTTGGGGAAAAGAAAGTTGCACACATTTATCAGCACCCAGAAGCCGTAAGCTTGACCCTGGTCACTGCCTCTTCCCCAGCTCCAGGTGGGACCATGGGGACCTGGCAGGACATTTTTGCAGCGAAGATTGCAGATATGCACTTAACAGAGTCATGGATACTTCAGGAGGACAATAGCCTGCAGGTGCACGTCCTCAAGCCTGGCTGGAAGGAGATTGTGCAGCGCCGTGTGTTTGGGAGGTAGGGGGCTGCTGGCTTGGTCCCTGTCAGAGCGGGACCAGGAACGATGGGCTGCAATGCGGACCTTTCACTTTCTCAAAGTTTGCTTGTAGGAAACAGCTTTTGACATGAAAGGGGCAGTTTGGAGGCGTGGAAGGCTGGGAGGGGTTTTCCCATTTTCTTCCAAGCTTGGTGGGTTATTGCCAAACTGGAAAAAAATCATGATAATTGGAGGGGAGGGGAGTGTGGCAGCTCCACGGGGCCAAAGGGCAGCTGGTATTTGGCCAGAGTTTCTCCATGTTGGTGTCAAGATACAAAGAGCTCCTCCAGCGAGCAGGGGTACTTATACCACACTAGAGCCAAATCTTCTGGGTTTGCACCCAGAGGATGAGGAGAGGGAGAGCCGCTGTCTGCTGGGACATGGGGCGATACCTCAGCAGTCCCTGCATCTGCACCAGGCTGCGGGGTCCTGGAGCAGAGAGAGGCTGTGGCTTTGCATTGCTGATGAGAGGCCCCATCCCAAAAATTTCTACCCTGGGCAGGACCCTGGGCATCGACCAGACACCCTGCCCGGGTGGCAGAAAATGGAGACCTTGGCTGCCAGCCCTCATGCAGATTATGCAAAACGAAGCGCTGCAGGTTACACACCTTTCGACTCCTCAGGATATCTCCTCACCTGCCCTGCAGCCCCCAACCACACCTTCCTTCTGTTTTTCTTCTTTTTTTTTTTACTTCCCCGGCCCTGGGCTTGATGTTGGCTTTCCGCTGAGCTGTGGTGAGCCGGCACGGGTGAGAGGCTGGAGCCTCAAATAGAACTGGGGCCTGATGCTTCCCACCCCAAGGACCCCTGCTTCTGGCAGTGGGGCTGGGATGGGCTAGGAAAGGGGATGAGGGTGGTCCCAGAAGGCAGCCTGGCTTCTAAAATCTTTAGTGCTGGTGCCAGCCCTGAGCTCACATCTGTGTTGAACTCCCGAGACTGGCATCATGCTGTTAGGGGGAAGACAGTTTGGTGTAAAGCTTGCATGAATGAAGTTAATCCATCAGCCCTGGCTGCCCTGGTCCGTACTGACTGCACGGGAAGCTGCCGGGTCAGCACAGGGAGCCCGGGATGAGCTGGTCTCCTCTGTGCTCTGGCAGGTTTCAGTGCTCCCAGTGCTTTCATGAGTGGTCCTCAGCCAAAGTGCATATCCTGTTCCACATGCGCTGGAGCCGGAGCCGGGGCCGGGGCATGGTGCGGATGCGAGCCTTTCGCCAGGCGTGCAGGCGGTGCCCCGAGCCCCAGCTGGAAGAGCCCAAATTCAGCGAGGACACCATGAAGAGACTTCTGCACAACCTGGTGCTAAAGATCCTCAAGTACTTCTACCACCTGCCCATCCAGCCCTCTGACTTCCTGGAAGTCGTGGTGGATGCGCCGGTGGTGGGGCCGCACGACAGCGCCCGCTGTGAGGGCTGCCAGCTCGGCGTTTGCAGCGAGTCGAGGCTGGCCCCGGCGCTGGATGCTTGGGAGCCCTTGACGGATGCAGACAAGGCCAGGACCCATCGCACCCTGAAACGCCAGGGCATGAGGCCCTGTGCAACCCCAACCCACCACCCCTCACCCTTCAATAGCAACTTCCTCTGGAAACGCTGCTGCTGCATCGGCAGCTCTTTGCTCTGTGTTTTGGCAGCGCTCCTCTTTGTCCTGCTTTATTTCACCAGGAAGTAGGGGGAGCTGGGGCTCGCAAAGAGGAATAGGAGTGATGGCTGGGGGGGCTGATGGAGCGCCTGGAAAATTGGGTGCCCGAGGTCAGCCCTCGCTCGTAGCATGACGAGGCTTCCCCGGCTCGTGGTAGGATGGAGACACATCAGGGGTGCCTTAGCCAGGCACCTTGTCCCACAGCCTTGGCGAGCCTGGTGGGTCTGATGTTTCCTTATGGGACATATTCTGCGTGAGGACAACCCTCAGCTGCCCCATGCAAAGGATGAGTGTACTTGCAAGAATAAAACAAGCCCTTTCTCCTCAGCCCAAGGATGGATTTGTGCTTTTTAATTTCTCCAAAGCCTTTTCTAGGTACGTGTGAGCAGCTTGGAGGGAAGATGGGTTATCCGCCTTTATCCACCAGCTGGGACTAGCTTCCAGGGAGACACATCACAATGCTCTCCTGCCTTTGGCTTTGGTGGAACTGGGCACCCAAAGCAGCTGAGGGGCACCTAGAGCTGGAGTTTTGCAGCAAAGTCATGGGGAGCCGGTGCCCGTGGAGGCTGGCACTGCCTCCTGTGAGCTGTGTACAGCAGCATCTGCCCTGGCCCCGTGCACTGGTGGATGTCCCTTGTGCCACCAGGGGCCCAGAGATTGCTTTGCCCTCCAGAAACATCCGGGTGCTGAGCTTTCGCAAGGGGACTCTTTATCAGGAAGTGTAATGATAGGACCAGGGGTAATGGTTTTAAACTAAAAGAGGGTAGATTTAGTCCTTTCCCAGTACCCAGAGGACAAGGTGGATTTTGGGACGCTCTGGCTTCACTTTACAGGAGGTTGGGGACTGGGCCTGATTCCCTACTGGAGCGTCACCAGAAAGGGAGGGGGATGCAGCATGGTAGGTGTTGCACCCAAATTCAGATGTGTGGTTGTAAGAAGTAAGCCTGGGGGGAAGCCGGAGAGTGCCCAAATGGCCCGTGCCATGGGTATCCACTCACTCCCCATCCCTTCCAGCATCCCACCACCCTGGACACGCGTGCCCATGGGGCAAGCGGGCGGCATTGGGTGCTTCTGTCTCACTGCGGCAGCACGGGGTGACGGTGTGGCCAGCCCCATCTGTGCTCCTCTCCCTCTGGCAGCCTCCATCCCACCACTTGGGCTCTCCTCTCTTTCAGCTTCTGAGCTGTGCTCCCGCTCAGGGTGTTCCTGCTGTGAGCATTTGTGGAGCTCAGCCCAGGCTGTCATCCTCTTCCATGTCCACCTGGACCAGGCTGGGGCAGGGGGCCGGGCAAGGATGAGGACCTTCAGGCAGCAGTGCCACCAGTGCTGGGTGTGGGCAGAGCCAGTTTTCAGCCAAGAGAGTGCTGGGCGGATCCTGTTGGGTTTGGTCACCAGTATGCGGCAGAAGTGCTATGGCGAGGACGTCGTTTGCCCCCGCTTGCAGGAGGCTGTGGCTGGGGAGGCACAGCGTGCCCCACGAGAGTGAGCACTGCGAGGTCTGTCACCTGGGGGTGCATCAGGGAATGCACAGGGGACACCAGGAACGCTGTGGGAAATCCAGCTCCACGGGGCTGCAGGAGAAGCAGGAGAAGCCCAGAGACGTGGCCATCCCCTGGGGAAGCGGGGTGCCAGTGGTGAGAATGCAGTCAGCAGCCCACCGCCAAGCCCTGGATGGGTTTAGAAGCAAGTCAGGAGCCATCACCCCCTGTTGTGCCTGTGCCATCCCCATCGTACTTTTCATTTTTATTACATACCTCTCACAGAGAGGCTGGCTGGGGCCGCCTGGTTGGTAAATGACTTTTATTAACTCCATCAAGTTCCCGGCTTGCTCTGCTTTAGTTGCACCAGGCACCTGACAGCGCTGGGATGACGGCTGCTGGGGTGGGGGTTTCTAACATCCCCCCGAACTGAGCTGCATCACTCACTCTTTGCCGTGTTCTCTGGGGTTCATACACTGCCTGGGTGATCGAGGAGCAGAAACACAGACACTGGGGAATCTGCTGCTCACTGGGAGTAGTAAGAGCTGAAGTGAACAAACCCCAAACTACTCCGGGTACTGAAACTGTTTTTCAGGCTGTCTGGCAAACGAGTCCAATGAGGGCCAGACCTGCAGAGCCGCTGAGGCAGCTGCATCCATCCCCTCCTGACTTTGCAAATGATTTGATGCTGAAGGTGGACATGGTAGAAAAGATTTCACGACTGATTTAATGGAAGAAAGACGGGCTGAAGGAAAGGTGTTAACCAAACTCAGTGTTACCGGCGCAGCTTGCACAGCATCAAGCCCTGGCTATGAAGCTTCCCAGGTGCTCTCCTCCGTGCTGTGTCCTGCAGGGCTTTTTATGCTACTCAGTGTGGGTTTGCTTTTTTTGCTGGTGTAACATTCTCCCGTATTTTCATACATGCGACTTGCAGGCTATTGGTTAAAAAAACCCCAAAATAACAAGAAAATCCTGTGTGATCCAGGGGCCATGTAGGTTTTGTTTCTTAAGTGCTCTGTCCTGCTCATCCCACCAACTGTCCCCCTTCTTCAGCACCTTCCCTGCTCCGCAGCCCTGGCCATGGAGCCAGCAGATGGAGCTGCGAGATCTCTGGCACTGCACTGGGAAGCATTGGGACCAGTGACCCGCCAGCACTGGGACGGCCAGCCCTCCCCAGATGGGGGAAGCCCTCCCCCCATCCCTGTGCCCAGCCATTTCCTTGTAGTGTGGTCCCCCCCAAACCGTATCCTACATGGATATGGTCCTGGTCTGTGGATAAGCTGGTCTCTTGCTGTGATTTTCCAGTCTTGGAGCACTGGAGTTGCCCATGCGATGAAAGGCGCGGGGCCTCAAACCCCTCCTGGCCCCCAACTCTGCCTGGGGGGCATTGGTGCCACAGCAGCAGGGCTGGGGTCCGGCGTGGTGCCACCAGCAGGGACTTCCCCAGGAAGGAGAGCCAGCATGACCTGTCCCCCTTGGAGTGAATATCAGTAATGTCCTGAGCGTTTTTGGCAGGGGAACAGTGGCTGAGGGAGTGCTTGGGACCCAAAGGGTCTTGTATCTGAATGGATCTTTCCGGAGGAGGTCTTTCCTTGCGTGAGGCGGCCAGGGCTGAGTGGCTCTGCTGAGGAGGAGGAGGCTGATCCTGCAGCCTGGACCAACTCCCTTCCCTCCTGTGCAGCTTTCCCCTCGCTGGGAGCAGCCCGCCCTCTCCCCGCTGGCGTTATGTCATGAAGCAGGGACATGGCCAAGTTTCTTGCTGCCATTGCCTGTAGCCCTCTTTCCATGCTGAGGTTTTCCCAGCCCCAGTCATCATGTCTGGCTGTCTGCAGCCTCCCCAGCCACCCAGCTGCTGAGGGGGAACTCCCTTGCCTCCGCCTGGGAAGCCAACTCTGGTGGAGACTACATCTCTGCAGGGGTCCTTATTTTCTTGCTTGGGTCTCTCTGCTCTTTTACAAGGGCAGAGCCATCCCTCGCCCCCCTGCAATGCCCTCTGCACGCACCCTGCGCTCCCCCACCCATGGCCTTGCATGCATATGCTGCTTTTTCCCTGGTCTCCTCCCCGCCGCTGCCTGCTTGCCTGCCTGTCTCCTTGTGCTGTGTGTGCATGTCCCCTCCATCATGCAGCCCCTTCATCCCCTCCCCATTATTCAGAGATACCCATGCATACAGGGGCTTCTCAGCCACGGCCTCATTTTTGGGCTCCTTCCAGGATACCCATCTCCGACGTGCAGTTGTGCCAATCTCCCACTTGTTTCTTAGCAAACTGCCCTCAAAGTGCTGCTTTTCGTGTCTCTTGGCACTTTTGGAGCCCAGAGCAAGCCCCTACAGCTCAGCTCAGCCCCTAGGGATGGTGAGCAGTGGCCAGCCCCCCACCTGGCAGGGGGACAGCGAGCCCATCTTGGGGAAGGCAGCTGAGGGATGAAGGATGCTCTCTCTCCCCGTGGGTCCCGGGCAGGTCCTGGCTGTCCCCCCTGGTCTGTCTGAGGTTGGGAACTGCTGCAGCCAACTCTCAGCTCATGCCTGACACTCACATGCAGCCAGGGACGGGCAAACCTCACCCAGGGACGTTTAGCTGGCCTTTCACCGCAGCCAGACTGATAAATTGCTGTCTCCGCGCCTGTCTCCCTGGAGAGAAGCTCTCACCACTCTGGCAGGTCGCGAGGTGCCAGCAAATGCAAACCCTGTTGTTATTGCTCTCGCTTTTCTCCTCTGCTGCCTGTTCCCAGCTCTCCCTGCAGCCAGCCACAGCGGCTGTGGGGCACGAGGGGTTGGCACTCAGCGGCACAGTGGCTTGGTGAGCAGGGGGTGAGGGCTGGGTTGCGTTGGGGATTTCCCGGCAGAGCTATTGACAGGAGGCAGAGGAGAGTCTGTATTTATGACTGATCTGTTATAGGGCAGCAATATTTTTTAACTTGCCCCAGAGCTGTCTAGGCTCAGATCCTAGAGCTGATGGTTTAATGCTCAGGGGACAGTGCCTTGATTTTGCTTTTTCTCTCTCCTCCCCTTCATTCCTCTGATGTCTCTGGACATGTTAGCAGACCCGTGAGTGAGCGAGCGAGCCAGACCTACTGCTCTCCTCCCCGCTGCCAACCCAGAGGAGCTCGGTGCTGTTATTTCAGTTCTGTGCTGTAGGAAAATAGGGATCAATAACCCAGCTCTCAGCCCTGGATCCAAGCACATGGTAGGAAACAGTGGCCATGATTTTAAGCTCTTTCCAAAAGCTGGATTTTCACAGCCTGTGATGCGGAGAAGAGATGCCCGGCAGAGCTGTGTCCCTGCCTCAGCTCCCACCTGTGCTTGCTGCAGAGCCTCTGCTGTGAAGACGCGCTCTCTCAGTCCAACAGCTAGCAGGGACAGGCTGATTTTTCACCCTTTTTAAAGCAAAAGTCACATACCTGTTATTTTTTCCGCGTGCCAATTGAACCCAGATTTAATTGCTATTCTCAGCATACAGGTTGCTGCACTTTCCTCCTGCCACCGCCCCCACCTTCAGTAATGTGCTAAGGCTATAAATAATTGAAGGACAGGGTCTCATCTGTTGCCATTTTTTGCAATTTGTATTCATGGCTGGTCGGGGTCTGTCTCAGCCCATGAAACTGTGTGGGCCATGGCTGAGCAGCCGTCGGGGTGAGGGACAGTGTGAGAGTCCCCCTGGGAGTGCAGGCGTGCGTGGCAGAGCCTAGCAACCAGGCTTGACCATGTCCCTCTTGGAATAAAAGCCTCAGGGCACCAACTCAGTACATATCAAAGTTTTATTTTGTTCTCAGGAGGAAGATTACACAGAACCATCCTTACATGACATTGGATATTTTACAGAATGTAGTATCAAAAAAGAAATATATATATATATATATATTTAAAAAAATACCTTGCAGTTACATGACATAGCCAAGAGTACAGTTCTTAGTGTGTCTGCAAGTTCGACCTTCCTGCTCCTCTACATGCCCTACAAATGGCTTTTTGGATGATAGCAAAATGGCAGAGTGGCTCATTCACTGATGACTCCTTCCTTGCATGGCAAAACCAAAGGAGGAGGAGGAGGAGGACAGGCCCAAAGGAGGCTACAGGCATGCAGAGAGGACAGCAGGCAATTTTTGCATGTTGCTTACAGCTATAGGAGGGTTTTGCTGGCAAGTGAAGGAGATGATGTCCCCGCTGAAGGAAGGTAAGCTCACCTGACCTTGTTCCTTGGTGGGGCTTACTTGTCTGTGTGGGCCATGGAGGGAGGCTGGGGAGATACAAATACTTCTGGTGTGTTAGGTGAGTTGGGGTCAGTCCAGAATGACTTGAAGACCTGCAATAGGCCAGAAGAGCCATGAACAAACACTGAACACCGTCAGTAACCTGTAAATCAGCCAAATCAATGGCCTTAAAAGCAGTTTAAAAGTGACTAGGTTCTTGCAAGAATGAATGCACTGCCATGCAGGACTACCCAGGCCCCTAAAGAAGATGTGAAACCCCAAGGAAGGGCATTTTATCTGAAATGATTCTGCTGAAAATAAGTATTGCTTAGGTACAGCAGATGTGATGCTGTCTCGTGTGTTGGAAAACTTTCCTTGGGAGGCCTGCTGTGGCTGGAAACCATTCCAAGAGCTAGTCTGGGGGGAGGACTGGAGAGGGCTTGAGGTGATGGAGTGTCAAAGTTTTGGTGGCTGGAGGTGAGAGTGACACTGACTCCAAACCCCGCTCCCTGTCCTTGTGTCCTCTGTGGGCATCCATCCCACGTGGTGGGGTAAGGGTAGCCTATTTGGTTGGTGCCGTCTAGGCAGCCATTAGCTTTCCAGACATGGCTGAAGTTCAGGGCTAGTGTGGATGCATCTTCACATCCCTGGGGCCAGGTGGACATCACCTGAGATGCCATCAGGCAGGGACATTTGTTTACAAATAAAAATAGTAGCAAACCCCCAGGGGTCTCTCACTACTCCTTGCACAGAAAAGGTGGGGGACCTGTGACATCCACGCCTGCCCAGGTGGGTTTCCCGTGCTGTCCGTAGCCTCTGTAGCT